AATGTTACTATACACGATGTTATGCACACTTTGATATGATATATACTCTTTAATGTTACCATGCATGATGTTATGCACACTTTGATATGATGCAATGCATGAAATGATGAATGCTTTAGTATCATGTATGTTATGGCCAAAGTAATATTGATTTTTTTTTGTATCATGTATGAAGTGATGAGTTGTAATGTTTTGACATTGTGCATGTTACATTTTGATAATTTGAAGCTATAATGATGTATAATTTTGATATGATTTATTACATTTGATCATTATGATCGAAATAGTTTTATTTAAATTTAAAGGTTATGATTTCTTTTGAATTCAAGTTTGTTTTATCTCAATATGACATATAGATAGGGGGAGTTAAGGCTAACTCCGTCATCAATTAGTTGTCATCATCAAAAAGGGAAAGATTATTGAATCTCAGATTTTGATGATAAAAATAATTGATGAATTAATGATTTAATCCATGTGTTGAGATAAGTGATGTAAGACTAACTACGATCGTGAGATAAGCAAAATGATTAAAGAGGAATCCAATATTGGGCTGGAGTTAACAATTGGGCATCGGGTCTGATGAATCGGGTGATACACCGAAGGATCGGATGATGTAGTGAAAGCTCATCGGCAGTTCGCTAGGATTTCACCGAAAGCTCATCAGAAATTCATCAAGAGTTCATTGAAAGCTCGTCGAAAGATCGTCGAGAGTTCGTCAAAAGTTTATCAAGAGTTCGGTTGAACAATTAACATGCTAGACAACTTAGAATATGTGTAATTGTTTTAGCCTTAACTATCATAGTTAGGACTTTAATTGAGTTAGTTTTGGGAGAAATACTACTAACTTAATTAGGGGCCAAATGGGTCCAAAATAGGGCTGAATTGGGTCGGTTGGATGGCCCAATCAGCCACTTGGAGCCACGTCACGTGGTGGCACCACTCAGATTGGACGGTGGCACCACCTGAGGCTCAGCCTCCTAGGTTGTTTGGGTGGTGGTACCATCGACAATTAATACTGTTAGGTAGTGGTACCACCGAGCCCTGTCTCCGAGGCTCTATCAAGTGATCATATTGCCCAGACTAGATGGTGGTACCACCTAGTATCAGTTTGTAGGCGGTGGTACCACCTAATATCAGTTTGTAGGCGGTGGTATCACCCAATAATGACTGTGGTACCACTAATATTTTGGAAACCCGGGATGAGATATTTTTTTGCTCTAAAGCTATTGGGGCTTATAAATACCCCACTCTTTCCTATAGAGCATGAAAGCATGAACAAAAATCTTGAGATTTTAGTTTATAAAATTACTAAGTATCATCCTTCTCTTTTTCTAGTTTTGTAATCATTCAAGAAGATGTTTGAAGCTTGTAAGGGTTGTCTCTTGTGAAAAGAAGAGTGTTGTAAGAGAGTAATTGGAAGACCTAGATGTCGATGGCCTTAACCAATTAATTGAAACTCAAGTATATCTATAAAGATAATGATTGCTGGAAGTTAATGATTATCTCAACAAATAGATCAAGACACGCAGAAAAGAAATCAAAATATCATCTTTGCGCAAAGTTAATGATTGTTTATTCAATGCATTAATTAAAGGTATTATTGCAACATCTGACACCTAAAGTAATTAAAAATTTTATAATTTGATTTTTTATTATCAACTTTTTATATCATTACGCTTATTATACATTCATTTTTTGAATCTTAGAAATAGAAATATAAGTTTTTCATGTTTTAAATTATATTTAACTAAAAATTAAAAAAATTAACGTACTCGATTCGGAACCGAAATCGTTACTTCTAGTTTCGATTCTGAGACTAACCCCATTTGATTTTAATTTTTGACATTAGTAAACTAATCACCGATTCTGAACCAAGGTCAATCCTAGCAAGAGACAAGATAGGAGGACAAAGGAAGAAAAAAAAAAAGGGAAATCTGCAATCAATATTTTGATACTGAAGGGATTATTATGCTATATGCACGTCAAGGAATAAGAGTGTTTTTGAAACTATTAGAAAAATCAAGACAATTAAATTTGTGGTGTTGAGGAGGAATAAGAGAATTTGAGCTTTTTGTTTTCTTATTTTTTTTGGTGGTGATAAAAGTATGACAGTGATTTAGCTGGCAGGGCACATAAATAAATTAAGCTGCTTACAATTTAAATATGGCAGAGGATTTATTGATTAATTGCATTCGCAACATGCATCTAAATATTGTCCTGAAGCTGACAACTTCAGGGCTAATGAAGCGTGCAGTTACTATCTCTACTGTATTACCCAAAGGCATGCAATCTAGAAAATATGACATTAAATTTACTAAAGTAAAACTATTAAGATGGAAGGTCATTTCAGGTTATATATGCAATGGATTCTTTTCCCAAGATGAGGCATATAGAGGAACCTTAAACCCTTCCTCATGCTCTTTTAACCGATGGCTTTGCAGTTGAATGGAATCTTGGGAGAGGTTGGCCCACGCTTTAGACATGCTCTCATCCTGGAACAGTTGGCAGATATGATCCCAAGCGTTCTTAGGATACAATTCTTTCCGATGTAGTGATAATATCAAACGAAATTGTGTATGAGAGAGAGAGAGAGAGAGAGAGATCAAACACAGAACATAATGTTTATTTAATAGACCCGGCCACTCACATGTAGATATAGAACGCACGACTCGGACACGTAAACCACACAGAAGCTAAAGCCTTTCTTCTGCCCTCCACAACAATGTAACCAGATCGAAGTCTTCAGCAGTATAGGCCATCGCATCCATCATGGTGCAGCGACGCGATCGCCGCTGCCCCCTGGCACCGCCGGTACGCTCCCGAAGCCGGGGACTAAGCCACGAAATGGCTCTCCAAAACCAACGGCAGGAGCCCCACCGAAGAAGAGCCCAAAGCCCCCCATGCGCACGGTGAAGGTTCTGAGGCTGATATGGTTCAGCCTCCTTCTGGAGCTTCCTCGATTCAAGACCCACAATGAAGGTGGCAAGCAACAGTGCAAGGAGCAGAACCATCTTAGTAGACCTCTCCATGCCTGCCTCTCTAATCTGCAATGCAAGCCCTGTGAGGCCTCGCCACTCACTTCCGTCCATGTTATAGCAGACAGCATACAGGTCTCATTTACTTGCACCACCCACTTGCAGTTGAACTTTTAAGATCTAATACCAGTACGCTTGCAGTGTGATAGAAAGAGATATGTGCTTGATTCAGGATCAATATTGAGTGACATGAAGAAGGAAGAAGTGCTAGAACATGAAACTGCATCTTCCCGGAAGATATGTATTCAATGGAGTACTGTGAATGTTTAAGTCAAAAAAATTCACCTACTCCCAACCAACCAACCAACTGCTAATGCAGCTGAGAAATCTCCATACAAGGAGGTATAGGTTGGTGACACCACTCCACAAGTGACAATTGATTTATTGATGTTTTCATGGTGGTGGTTCCTTTCTTCCAGATATAAACTACTAGTGTTCCTTCAGCAGAGAGCACAAGAATGAAAAGTGGAAATCTGAAGTAAAAACACAGATATCATTGGAGAAGACCAACTTAGAACCGTTAGAGCTTTTGATATAAAAGAGAACACTTTACAATGTGCTTAAGTTTTACATAGCAGCCAACCCTAAAAGCCACTAAAAAGAAACTTTATTTCAAGACCACAGATCATATACCATACATAGGGTTCGATGAAATGACAGTTTTCCTACATAAAGATTAGATTTATATAGGTGCTTTATCTTATGACATTTAACACACCAAGAGTATTAAGAAGAGATTGGAGGAACATATAAATGGTTATCAACACAATAAAAAGATTTGAGACCTGAGAGCTAATTGGAAACATATATCCGATTAGCTGGATGATGGATATCAGTAGGGTTTTTCCTTTTAACAAAAAAAACAGACCAGCATTTGACCCCCAATATATGCTTTGTATGTATGTCTTCCCTATATGCCAAGAAAAAAATATTTATAGATTTGGTGTTATAATTGTTATAATATATAGTTGATAAACTTAAAGAAAGTAATTTTTTGACTATCAAGTATCGTGGAGATCCCTCGTGCCAATTCCTACCTCGTAAATATCCTTGATGCCAAAAGCAATTGATCCAAATCTAATTTGTTAATGTTGTATCATATGACTTTTGGGCAAAGAAAATTGGGTTGATTTAACTTTATTTTTTCTGTGTATGAAGCCATCCAATTACAACTAAGTTGGCAGAAAAGATATGAACCCATTATTTACTCATGTGGTAATAAGATACACCATTATCAAATTAGATTGTTAATTTATGTTAACCAAATCACACCCAGTAACTTTGGTTATGATGTGATCTCTCAAGACAACATCATCCTTATAAATTTGGAGTTGTATTGATATGATATGTATTTTTTTATTATTATATCGAAAGATGTACATGATACTAAGCATGTAAGTGCAATATTGTACTAACCAACTCCGATATCTCAATACAGATAATACATTTATTTTCATGTATATACAATAGATTTCAAAAATTCTATTTTACAACCTTAATAGTTGTCATAACGAGTCATATGACACATCATAATATGGAATTAAGCCCAAAACGATACGGAATTCAAGGTCTCTAATCGCATTAGAGATTTCTAGCATTGTACAATATTCATAGTTTTAAAGGGTTATTATTTATATAGGGGTATCATGACACTTTATAAGGTATATTAAATACTCAGGCAATGACTTGGAAAAAAAATTTCAAGGATCTTTTTATTCCAAATAAATATATCTAAATTACTGAGTTAACAATTTTATTGATTCCCAAATCTCAACCTTTCACTAAATCTATAAAATCCAGTTTTTTTTAATTTTTATTTTATGTTAAAATTCGATGGTTGGGATGAAAAGTTGAAACTCGAAAGTGAATCAACGGTTGCCGCAACTTCGCATAGATATACTATGCGGGCGTTCTCCATTATTTGTCCCCATTATAAGAGGCATAATTTGGGCCGTGCGAATTGCCATGGTTTTATTAAGAGCCGGAACAGGAGGCGGACTCGAGAGCGTGACCGCGAGTTCGAGCTTGAGATCATGGCGGCCGCCACCTATCCCTTTTCCGCGAGATTGCGGAGATTGCGGGCTGCGAATCCCTTAGCAACTCGTCATCTGAACTCCCTCGCCCTGGTTTCCAAGCCCACGTTTCTCATTTCTGTTTCGAGGGCTGCGTCGCTCCATACAAGGTTTGGGGGCGCGAGGCTTCCCTCGTTGCTCCCTGTGATTAGAGCCCAGAGCTCTCCAGGTACGCCTTAAGGATCAGTTCTTTCTTGGCCAGAACTATGAAAAGTGCGCATTTAAGATGAATATTCCTTTTTGCGATCTGATTCTTGACTCTGTTAAAGTAGAATATACTCCGGATGCGGAATTTTACAAAATAGAAGCGATTGTAAGGTAAATTTTTGTGTTTTTTTTTCTTCTCATTTTTCTATTTCTGTTTCTTTTGTTGAATTTCTTGCCTGCTTTATGCTTCTGTTGTTGATGACGCATTGGATTTAATTTCATGGAAATGACTTGTATTTTCTTCTAAAAATTGTTCTTTTTGGCGGTCAAATGGGAGTTCAGGCCTTGGCGAGTTCATCATGTTTCATCGGTAAGAAAATAAAAGAACTCGTTCTGTGGTTTGGCAATAAAATGTCGAACTCCTGGTGGCGTGGGAGCTAGGAGTTAGTTTTGTTCTATAGGTTTATGGAAGTATTGTGTGGAAACCCAGGGTTTGCTGCAAATGGGTATTCGAGGAGTTACAGTTTCCGACGTTCGAGGTTTTGGAGCACAAGGCGGCTCAACAGAGAGGCATGGCGGTATGTTCTTGTTTCTTCTGGCATCTGGTTTATCATTGGGTTGACGTTGGAGGCATTCTGTCAATTCAACTTGTATGTTATGTAGTTTGATCTTTGGATAATGCGTAGATTGTTCTTTTTGCTTGTTTCTTTGGTTATTTGCTTGGACCATGTGTCATACCCTACAGAATTGAACAATAGGGAACCTTTCAAGAAGAAATTATAGCAGCAGGACTTGAGGAAAATTGGGAAGTGGAATACCCACAATTAGCCAAACTCTCCCAACAAGTATATTCCTCCTCTGCCGTATCAAACTACAGACCACCTACAGACTCTACTATGGGGCCAGCAAACTACCCCCCGCAATTAACATAGAGTCAACAATCCAGAAGCCTACCTTTGAAGGATACACTAGGCAAGCCAAATTCAAATCAAAGGATTTTTCTGAAGCATGGAACCTACCCTCAGCATTTCAACAAGTAACTATATTGTTGGAAATATACATGCTTAACATTCTAAAGATTGCTACTAGACAAACTTCGAGATTGATTACATGCTTTAGCCAGATCAATAAATTCTGTCTTTATATCTGCCTGTTCTTGGGTGTGTCCTGTTTGGTTATCTTGATATCGAACTTTTGTTTTTCACTTTTATATGAGCATGTGGTTGGTGCTCGGTGTGATGGGATCTTCCAATAACTTGGTGACCCTAATATTGTTTATGGGCTTGAGATTCATCACATTCTAGATTGTTTTAGATACTAGTTCATTGATGATTTCAAGTAATTGTATATATGTCTTTCGGGGTTGAAATTTAAAATCCATAATATCACAAAACAAGGCTCAACAATTTATGTTCTTCTACATAGTATTTCTAATTTGCAAGAGATAATAAACAAGCGAAAAGGGACTCAGCAATTGTTCTCATTATGAGAGGACTACTGAAGATAGAAATGGATGAATTTAAAAGCTTTTCCCTGTTTCCCTTATCCATCATACTCTAGTTTACATTTTACATATTCGCTATGTTTTTTCCTTATCCTGCTTTAGTACTTTTCCTTGTGTTTTATAGCATTAATACTGGCCTCAATTTGTTGTGTAGAACCATAAAACTAACTCCTAATAGGGAGATTTCCATCATTTGAACAAGTCCCACTCATCAGTTCCATCACCTACAAAATGCTTTCAGCTCTGATATGTGCAAGTGATGTGCTGGCATAGCACATTGCATTTAGTATGTCTTAGTATGAACTATGCTAATTGCAGTGTTGGCATGTCTTTGGTGGAAAACCATGTTAAGTGCCACTAACATGATGGCATATGAGTGTAAATATGGCATCAGATTCTTATTGAAACTGATGCGGAATGGTTTGATTCCGCAAGACAATTGTGAAGTGGTTTGATTCCAAATGCATCCATCTTAATGCAGCTCAATGAACGTGTTACATTTCCATGGTGTCCACCATTTAGAAGCATAGTTCCAGGATATAGCCTCCTATGCTATATGAGACCACAAGAAGGCATCTTGATGAAGAGATCGAGGAAATTAGCATACATAAAGTCTTTCATAAAGTAGTGAAGCATCTATGGAGTTATCCTTATGTGTGACAACTGACCAAACCCAGCAGAATAACCATTATCTGTTAGAAACCAGGACAATTATTATCTGTGGTAACGAGTAAATTCAACAATTAAAATATAATAACAAGCTTCCACTTACCACACTAGATAGGCATGTTCGTCTGTGATAAAACGTTCGTGAAACTCACTTGTGGACTTCACTGACATTGTGACAATTTAGAAGTAAATCAATGGTAACTTGAAGAAATATGTTAGTTAACATGATATCCTCCATTGTCATGTTTTATAGTAGTAATGACTGTAGTGCTGTAAACTTGTTTGCTTCTGCATCTTTTACTTTCTAAGGCCTTAGATGAAATATAACATTACGTGTAACTCTGTCATCTTCTCTGTTGATTATTGATTTTTCAATTAGAGGAGCATAATTTGAGTAAGAATATTGATTTTTTCATAGAGCTTCATTAGTTGTATATATGTTTATACTCACTGGAAAAATTAATATACAAAGATGTTGCAGTTCCTGCCAATAATTTTGTTTCCATGAATTTCAGGATCTGAGTTTTCAGAAGACAAGTTCATAGCTAAAGTTAAGATGGAGATAGTGGTATGCAAGGACCAGGTAGATGTGTGTTAGACATATACATATGTATATGTTTTTGCTGTTGATTATGCAATAAAGATGAATGTGATGACACTTGTTATGGTTATTATCCATATATTGGGTGCTGCATCCTTTTTTTTGATAGCCATGGATAAACATAATCAGTTTCTATGAAATGAATAATTTAATCTATTGCCTTTCTGTTGTTTGTAGAGAACAGATATTGGACAATTATTTAGATATTTTTACTTATTTAAAATTAGTTATAAAGTATGTTTTACCATTATTTTATTTAGTTCATTTGTTACTTCTATAGGTTGAAGCTGTAGTTGAGAAAATAATTGAGGAAGCAAGAACAGGAGAAATTGGTGATGGCAAGATTTTCTGTAAGATCGTTTTTTTTCATCCGATGGGTTTTCTTTATCTTATAAGACATGCATAGTCCATGTAACTGCTCACCTGAGGAAGTTGAAGTCCCATTGTTATTTTGCTAATGTTACCTGCATAGGGCTCATCAACAATTAGTTAGAAGTTCCTTGGTTATGTCATCAATGTGTCCAACACTGGATTCCCAGGTTCTTGAACACCTTCACTGCCTATGTTTGATTTTACATTTTATGCACAATGTTCCAAGTATGGTATCAATGGAGGATTTATATTTAATGTGAAAGTTGAAGTGCTCTTCATAAAGCGTTACTATTTAGGCTTCCCAGCTTTGTTTACCTTTTCTCATCTAGTATTTGTTACTCCAGCCACATAAGGTCTGCAATTCTATGGTAAGCTAACTGGATGTTCTTGCCTGTATAGAAAGCTTGCTCAAAAATTGAATTTCCTTTATTGTCAAACTTCCTTTCGAAGTTGTTTCTATCTTACTCATTTTTCACTTCTACTCTAGCTATTGTATTTTTCTTCTTTGTTTAAGTTTCAGTTTCTTGCATTTGACAAGATATACTAGTGGTTAAAACTTTAACCTTATATTCTTAGCTTTGCTTCTCAAAATGATGGACATCAAGTTCAGTGATCAGAAATTTTCTTTTTCTGTAGCTGACTCCAGATCGATGATAAAAAACTGATGATGATAATAATAAGTTAGCCTGAAAAAGTTAGTCCTGGACAAACTTTTTTGTGTGACTGTAACAAAACAACTGTCTCTAAATGCTTCGTTACAGTGTACAATAATTTCGAATTAAGAATAAATTTGAGCAAGTTGGTTGTCAGCAAACTGGTACTCTGGTTGAGAAGGAACTCAACCAGTAATGCTTTACTACCTAGAGCATTTAGGACAATTTTATAATTAGATACTGTGAAAAATGCAGCAATTGCTTCTTCGAAATCTTGAGTTAATGCAACTAGACGAAGTAATACTAGATGACTGAACATCAGAATGTATGAATCCAGACAAAAACCATTTATGGTCATAAAAACTCTAACGTAGTAATTTAAAGATGTTTTATTTTAGAAAAAAAATCATAATAGTCAACATTGTGCATGGAAGACTTTTATAAACTGATAATCATGTCTCAAAAGTGGTAGTTGTTGTATTAATGTTAGACTGAACTATAATTTTAGCCTATACAATTTAATCTCACTGGTCATTGCTTATCAGATTATGTTTCATTACTTCTTAGTTGAGTTCTTTAATCTCCTGTGAATCTTCCTAATCTGGTTTCACCTTTTTGCAGTAATACCAGTTTCAGATGTAATTAGAGTTCGTACAGGTAAAGCAATGAAAAATACTCATTTTTCTTTATAAATTTTTTATTTAATTCGGAGTTATTATTGGCCTTTGTCTGACTATTGTAAAGACAAAAATCAACTCAGGAGATCTTTTAGCTGATTTCACCTTTCCAAGCATGCTTTCTTTTATGTTTTTCTATTAACCTGTTTCTTGAAATTTTCTTTTCATTGTTACATATAACACAATAAAATGCTTAACTTATTTATTCTTGACATCTGTACATGCAATTTGGAGAGTCTTGCAATTTTTATGTGTTTAGTCTCCATATCGGTGAAAATATTTATCTTGAATTGGTTACTATTCCTATCCTAATGTTTTATTTGGTCCTGAATCCTCAGGTGAACGTGGTGAGAAGGCTGAGAGAATGAGTGGTGGACGAGCAGATATGATGTCCTCGACAGCATCCATTGACTAGATGCATGTTGTTGTAAGGTGAGGAGAAAAGAAAAGAAATAAAGGTAAGAATGTGATTTTCCATTATGATTTTTTGTTATAAATAAGGCTTTAATGATTTTCCAAAGATAAAGAAAAACATAGAATTGGAACAGAGGAAAATACAGTCTTGTGCCTGCTTTTTAGACATAGTACCATGTTCATGAGGTGGCTCATCTCATTAACGTTCAAGTATTTCTCTTTGATGTATAAGGAAATGATGCACTTTGTTTGAGTAAGCAACAGAAAGATGCTCAAAAGAAAACTATTTAGCTGGATGTTTTCTACGAATGAATCAGATCAACAAAAATATTAGTTTCTTATGTTTTGGCTTTTTACCTTTTATCTAGTGTCATTTGGAATTTACTTATATATGTATTTCTTTATATAGAGGGCTTATTACCATGCATAATTAACTGGAATGAGGACTCCTCTGTGATTCATGGATAGATTGAAAACGCCTAAAAATGTGTCAACAGGAAATTTTTCCTAATGACATCTTTCACTCTAGCTGAAAATATTTTCTAGTTTTGCTTCCTCTTGTGCTACAGAAGTAGGTCAAATTGCATGGAAAAATAGATCATATGTGATCAACATTGTGTTGCAAAGTTTTAAAATTTTGAGAAATTTTGAGAAGTGAGAAATTTTGAGATGTTCTTAGTGAGGATATATATATTTGAAATGTTGTGTTGGCTGATTAGCAAAAGCCAGGACTTGAATGGTGTGTGTCTCTGAGAAAACCTACTTTTAATGGTTTTCAAAATGTCTAAAGTTGATTCTAGTTATGACGTAAGGGATATGTTTAAGTTTAAATGACTACCTATGAATCTCAGTAGGAATAAGTTATTTTTTAGTTTCTTACTTTGTTCCGTCTTAATTAACAATTTTGAAATGGCAGAATGATTTATGCTATCTGATACTGTTCTACATACTCAAACTGAAGTGACTTGATGGTTGATAATCCATGGAAATCTCTCTTTGAGTGTTCCAGTCTCAAATCTCAAAAATACCATGTTGAAAGTAGCTTATGAGCTTATGCCACTTATTTACTGACTTGGATTTTAACAGAAGCTTGTTGAGGACCCTCTAGGAGTTACTTAGGCAGTTAGGCTCTTTGTTGTTTCTCTTTTTTGTTTATTTTCATGTAATATATTTTGAGTATGTTTCTGTTGTTTTCTGAAGTGTGAATTTATGGCCTTTTTATAACATTGTTTCTATGGGAAAAATGTCATCCTTTCAGCCATGAATTTCTCTCTACTTACCATGAAATTTATGTTAACATGCTTTTTTTCATTTAGCTTCCTTTTTCTTGACAATTGACCCTCAATTTAGAATAGATGATGGACTGGTGTTACAGCTAATGTTTTTCCATTAAGCAGGGTTGGCAAGTAACACGTAAGTTCGGTGTCCAAATGAGGTGGGCTGGACAAGAAGATGATGTTATGGTTAAAGCTACTGCATGGTATTCTTCAAGCAGTAAAAAATTCTATTTGGTGTCTCATCCTTAGAATAACTTTTTTGGCCCTTTTTGGAGGACAAAGTCTAAAATAAACCATTAGCAGTGTAGCATTTTTCTTATCGATATTCGATACTGTTTACAAATTGGGTGCTCAATGCATATTCTTAACCAAGTTTGCTTTCCTATTTCGCGTTAAACAGAGAAATCCATTGATCAGACCCAACCACCCATCAATGGCACCGTTAAATGATGTTTATTGCTGAGGTGTATTTTCAAATGACCTATATCTACAATAGTGGCAGCAGGGTTTCGGCCACTGTGAGTAGATATGATTATTCTCACATCTGAATCCCAAATGATTTAGTTATGAGCGCGTGCCACAGGGCATTTCTCATTCAAATATTCGTCTAATGGAATTCCATGTACACGTCTGATTGGCTCTAGATTCTAGGTTTCATGTTAATTGCATCTCCAACATAAAGACTTGCATTCATAAATGACTCCGCAGTTGCTGCAGAGGGCCATCATCTTCTGGTGCAAATTGTGGTAGTATATATTGATCGTTGGCGCTCAGTTACATTGCTTAAAACCTCTCTCTATTTCTCATCTTCTATTTTGTCTTTAACTAAAATTCTGGTACCCTAAAAAGGCTTATTTTTCAGGTGCCATAGTGATTATGTTTGTTCTTTGTTTTTTCTTCACTTCTCATATGTTTATATACTTGCAGCAACTTATCAAGGATTACTTTGCTTTCCAACCATCCATTAACTGTTGTTATACCACTTTCTGTTAATCACACTTTGGGATGTAGAAACTCATTGTTCAAGGAGAATGATCTTTTATTGTTGTCTAGACAAAGAAGAAAGGCTGTGGGTTCCCTAACAACCTTCCTTGAGATTGTAGGCAACTGCATCTGTAGTGGATTTTGGAGCTAAACTGGTAGTGGCTTCATCTTTTGCTTTATTTTTCCTCACATCCATATTGGGGTGTAGGTTGTGCAATACATATTTCAGTTTGTTGTTCTAGTTGTATGTTTGTGTTGGTTTGCTGCAAGAAGATTTCCCCACAGAACACAAATTCTAGAGAAGGAAATTGTCTTTCAATACCAATGAGTATGAGAATTCATATCACAGCTACATTTTTTTGCTGATTCTGAAGACTTGAATAAATTTGTAACAAGGATGAGGCGGTATTATGACAGAAATCTCCATTTGGAAATGTGTCATTTTAACTTTATAGTCTTTCTAGCTTGCTCACATTGTTCCTTGTCACATCCAACAAGACCATTTTGAGAGTCACTAGCTTGTGGTCCTCCTGTTATCTATTTTTCAACGCATCATTTCTTGCTCATGTCTAGTTTAGCTTGTAAAATGACATGAACATAATAGATGATTCATGTGGAGCTGAGTAGGAGTAATGATCTGAAGTAAATTATTTAAATGGCAGGATGGGTTATCAAAAAAGACCAAGTGAGGGTTAACCAATTTAGAATGCTCTCTCTCTCTCTCTCTCTCTCTCTCTCTCTCTCTCTCTCTCTGTGTATAAAGCCAAAACTAAGTCTGTTATTAGGGAGAGAAGTAAAACAAGATTAATGTGAGATAATTTTCCATATGCTCCTACCCAGATAAGAAAATATTACTTAGGAGCAAAGAGAGGAGTATTGGGAATGGGCATATCAGATAAGAAAGCTACTGAAAGCCCAATCCTTCTATCGCATCCCAAGCATGGGACAAGAGACTCCGTCTCTCAAACAATCCTTTCTCTCTTTGTCCTCTTGTGCAACTGCAGATGGTGCTGCCACTCCTGCCATCATCCATTTCACTGCCTTTACTTCCCTTCCATGCAATCCCAAAGCAAGTCTAAGGTTGGCTTTGCAACAAAAAGGGGTATTAAACGCCGAGGCTACGAAAACATTATATATATATATATATATATATATATATATATATATATATATATATATATATATATATCATAAAGTGGTGTTAGATTGTCCTCTACGCTTTCTGTTACTCCTACGAAGTGGACACCATTCTAGTGCATACGTCACACCTCTCTCTCTCTCTCTCTCTCTCTCTCTAACGCAAAGTTCTTTCCTGGTTAATGGCTGTTCTCTCTCTTGAAACGATATATGAGCTATTCTTGTCTTTCTTGGTTGATGATTCTTATTCCCTTACTCTTCCTCTTTCTATCCATCCACATCCTGGCTCCTTCAAGAACTATATATCAGGATAGTCAAGGAGAGAGAGGGAGGGGCCAAGAAAGGATGAGAGGTGACTGCACGCCAACCCTGGCCATGGTGGCAGTCCAAGTGGGTTTTGCAGGCCTCAACGTGCTGTCGAAGTTGGCGTTGGACGACGGCATGAGCCCCTTCGTCATGATCGCCTACCGTCAGCTCGTCGCCACCCTCTTCCTCTCCCCTCTTGCCATCTTTCTTGAAAGGTATATATACATCCGCTGCTTCTCCACCATTTCCCTTGCATCTCCTTCCACCAGTTACTGTTCCGACGTCTCATTGTTGTCGTCGTCGCCATGATCTTGTTCTTGCACGCTTTCTTCTTGACATCGGATCTAGTTCTTTCGGACACCACTGGCCTGTCGACTACTTCCTATTAAATGGGAAGATTAATTACAGTTGGAACTCTTGTTCACCGATAAGATGAATCAGCACTCCTCCTCCTGCCACTTGGTTGCGTGCGTTCTGCTGCCACCGCTCACGAAACTTCTTTTCGTCACTTCCAATGCAGGAAAGCTTGCAGGGAGATTACACGCAGGGTTATCATCCAAATCTTCTTCTGCTCTGTGTTCGGGTAAGTCTCCAGCAAATTTAGCAAACGAGTGCATACTTTTGGATGCAAATCACATTTGTTCTTGTGAATCCTCGAGTCTCCAAATCACAGTATCACTGCACTGGACACATGATGCTTCATACGTAACGTATTAGGTCTGCCACACATGTTGCATGGTGACAGCAATCCGAGCGAGCCATACCCCACGTTATGAACGAGGTGGCGGTTCACGAGTTGGTCGCACCGAACCTGCTCCCGAGGAGCCTGGCGTCCACATCTCAGATGCATATCTTTCTCTTGAGACCTCTTGATTGGATTCACATGTCAATGGATTGGGTTGATGCAGGGCTACACTGAACCAAGTCTTGTACTTCCTCGGGCTCAAGTACTCCTCGCCGACGATCGCATGCGCCCTCAACAACATGCTGCCTGCCATTACCTTCATCATGGCCGTTCCTTTCAGGTATGATCACCTGCCATCTTGCAACATCAAATTAATTCGTCTTGGCAAAGACATTACTGTTCGATTCATTGGTCTCAGGATGGAGACAGTAGGGATCAGAACACTGGGCGGGCAGGCCAAGGTGATGGGAACCCTGTTGTGTGTGAGTGGTTCCATGTTGATGACCTTCTACAGAGGAAGCCTCATCAAGGTGTGGCGATCCCACATCCACTGGAGATACGCCGAAGAGATGACGATCAGCAGCGCGAACAACGCCAGCGACCAGAATATGGCTGTTGGAGCTGCCTTGGTCATCTCCAGTTGCTTGGCTTGGGCCGTCTGGTTCATCATCCAGGTGACGAACACAACTCCATCAAGTGAGAAGGTTTGCAGAAGGATGCGTTAAGTAGACCGTCATGCTTTCCTTTTGGCAGGCGAAGATGAGCAAGAGCTTCTCTTCTCCGTACACCAGCTCCGCTCTCATGTGCTTCATGGCCGGAGTGCAGTGCTTCGTCATCGCAGCCGGCGTCGAGAGGAGCTTCTCGGCGTGGGCGCTCGGTTGGGACATCAGGCTCGCGGCGTCGCTCTACACCGTAACGCACGTCCACGAAGAGCAAATCTGTTCTCGGTACCACATTCTTGTTTGCTAATCCTTGATCCGACCATGGCAGGGATTGGTGGGATCAGGGCTGGCAGTTTCTCTCATGTCATGGTGCATACAGAAGAGAGGCCCCCTCTTCGTCTCAATGTTCAGCCCGCTGCTGCTCGTCATCGTTTCGATCCTCGGTTGGGCGATCCTCGACGAGAAGCTCTACGTTGGAAGGTAGATAAGTTCACAGACCATGGTTCTTACGCAACGGACTCTCAGATAGCTTCTTTCTCCTCCGGTTGCAGTGTCACAGGATCTGCACTAATAGTTGGAGGACTCTACTCGGTCCTCTGGGGCAAGGGAAGGGAGATCAAGAAGCTGAGAGATGTGTGCCAGAGAACTAATGGAGATGGAGATGATGAGGGAGGAGCTGTTGCAGCTGTTGGTCTCCCATTGTTCTCTTGCCCATCCAAGCTTCCAATTCATCAGGTTGAAGCAGGCCAACCTTGAGACACAGATGATCATGGCGACTCACTGATTCATGCTGTTAACCCTGTTGATCCATCTCAGGAGAGTGAGTACAGGAGAATGCTGGAATCCTATATCATGAGGCATGTGGCAAGATTGACACACCTGTTGTTGAGCTCATATTTTTGTTGTTTATGGTGGATGGTTGTGCTCATGGTAATCAATGAGCTATTATATTTTGTGATACTATATCTTTCCTGAAGCCAGAAATTGAAGGCATATACCTTGAAATGAATGCTGCACCTTTTTTCCTCTCATATTGCGGTCCATATCGAGTAGTTTGTACGATTATTCTTTCACCAAAAGCAGAGGAAAAAATTATCACTGTTGCTGAAAAACTGAGTTGTTTTATCCCACTATACCATAAAACAAAAATCAACTATTTTACTTTTTCTTTTCTATTAGAAAGGTTTATGATTTTTAAATTATTGCACCAAATTTCTTATAAATGTAAACAGTAACATATAAATCGTTGTCATGTGTTTTTTTTTTTTGTTTATAAACAAAAATATCATATGATTATTGATTTTTCGGGTGCTGGATATCCAAATTCCACCCAGTATTCGGATATTAAATCTCCCAAAAAGATTAAAAGCCAATCATAGAGTCCATTTTTACCAGTCAGAAATTAGCAACAGGGTCGACCATTCACAATCGGACAAGTCAACCGTGTGTGCTTGTCAATAATGTTCGTGATCCAGATGCATTTGCTTTAAGATCCGAGCCAACTTAGCGTTGGGCACCTGTCGCTGATTGGCCAAGAAAACCTCGTCTGCTCCGATGACACCGGAAGAGGCCAAGAATCCCTTTGTCGAGGTGGATGGTGTTTAGGCAATCCTCCTCCTCCTCCTCTCTCTCTCTCTCCTCTGTTACCAGTGGATTCCTTTACCGATTCCCTGTCTTCCGAAGGCCAGTGGTACAATCCAAGACGAGCTTTTTCTTCGAATTCAAGTTATTTTATACGAGCAATGGTGGGTTATTGCGGTGCTCGGAGTAATACTCGCCTGATCTAGAATTGCTTTCTAGTAGGGAATCATGCTTCTGTTGGTCTCGCAAATTTTCTGTCATTTCTTAGTATTAGTTGATATGTTTGGTGATATATGAAATGTGCCAATCCAAAGACTTGTCTTTATGTGCGTTCTTCAAGGTGTGTTCTTTGACATTGAATATTGATAGGCTGCGGCATCGGCTTTCTACGCGTTCTCGATGCCTCTGATTTTTGGATCGCCAACAATGTTAGCGGCAGGATTTTACCAGGGCCGAGGTGATGGAGTGAAATCAAATTGGTGTTGGGATATAAAGAGAAATAATTTTTTATATATAAATAAATATTAGCAGGTCATAACACATAATGGAATTAAATGAAATTAAAATGAAATAGAATACCAAGATATATGTGAAAAACTCTTCAATGTGAAGAGTAAAAACCACGGGACAAATTAGAGATAATCTATATAATAATAATGAATATACAAATCTCAATCTCTTGCCCAAAACCCTAGCAACAATCACAAGAGAATAACTGGGATACAAGGATCACGTCACTGTGCACAATATCTAAATCCTCTTTAACTCTCCCCAAGTAATCACAGTAAAAATCTACTAGATCTGATCTAACTTGAGTTGAAAGCACTACTAGATGATTGAGAACGGTCTCTCTATGTTGTCCTTGTCTTTTTCCCTTTCTTTCTCTTCTTTTTCTGCTTTGTTCTCCTCCTTTTCTTTAGAATCTCGTGGCTGCCAAAAACTATCTCATTGCTACCTTTTTCTGCCTCTTTTTATAGTCACCATGCCCCCCTAATATAAATTAGGGTTAGGTTAAAGGGGGTGAGCTGTGGGTTGATAAAGCCCACCTTGGGCTGAATATGGACTGTTAGCCCAACAACCTCTCCCTTCAGCCTATAAGGGAGACTATCCTATGACTCATCATGTGAAGTCATGCCGACCAGCTGTCGGCATATCTCCTGTCTTTCTTTTGATAAGGTCTTCATTCCATTTGGTAGTAGTACCAAATCATAAGTGTGGTTCTTTTGAAGAGCATCTATCTCTTCCTACATAGTAACTAATCACTTCTCTTTCTATTCACTTTCAATTGCTTCCTAGTACATCAGTAAACATCACATACTCATCTGTAGAGTTTCTTCTGAAAGATTGATGTTGTTTAGAAGATTTTCTCAATTGAGGTGCCGTAGGAAGTTGCTCTCCAACTTCTTATTGCTCAACATGTCTTACAAGTAGATTAACATCAGGCTCTACACCATCTTCCTACACATCTCCTCCATTACCCTGATACATTGGAGGAGTAACTAGGTCACAATCTACTAATCCTTTTGTAGAAATCTTGGCTTGTGTCTTCTTCTTCAAATCGTCAAATGTTTGATCATAAAAAAAGACTATATCTCTACTTTTGAACACCTTTTTCTTTTCTGGATCCCAAAGCCTATAACCAAACTGATCATGTGAGTAACCAAGAAAAATACATTCTTTAGTCTTACCATCCAGCTTGGACCTCTCATTGTTTGGAATATGTGCAAATGCATGACAACCAAACACTCTCAAATGCCTATAGGAAATATCTTTCCCTAACCATACATGCTCTGCAACATCACCATCTAGGGCTGTACATGGTGATAAATTGATCGCATCAATTGTAGTCCTCAAAGGCTCATTCCAAAATCTTTTGAGTAGCTTGGCCTGTGAAAGCATACATATGATCTTTTCCATGATGGTGTGGTTCATTCTCTTTGCAATTGCATTATACCGAGGTATACCAGGAACTGTCATCTCATGTTGGATCCCATGTGACTTGCAATAATCATCGAATAATCCTGTGTACTTACTACCATTATCTGATCTTATGTATTTTAATTGCCTTTCTGTATACCTTTCAACCCTGGTATGAAACTCTTTGAAGACATTAATCACCTGATCTTTGGTCTTCAAAGCATAGGCCCAAACTTTCCTGAAAAAATTATCTATAAAAGTGACAAATAAAGTGCACCACTTATACTAGCAACATCAACATATCCACTAGGAGTTTTTGTCCTTAAAAGACCACATACATCTGTATGAACACGGTCTAAGGCATGCATTTTTCTAGACAAAGCAAGACTAGTAAATTAAACTGTGTTATTTACCAGCTAAACAATCAATACAATGGTTCAAATGTGTATCTCTGAGGTCTGACAATACCTCTCTTGGAAAGAGCTTACAGCCCCTTCTCGCTCATGTGTCCCAGTCGCCTATGCCATAATTCTATGCTAAAGTCTTTCTCTGTAGCATTTAACTGCTCACCATAAGCTTTAGTCTACAACTTGTATAAAGTATGACATTTCTTTCCACTAGCTATAACAAGAGAACCCTTACTGATCTTTCATTGCCCTTTGTAAAATCTGCTATCATAGTCTTCATCATCTAGTTTTCTAACTAAAATTAAATTTAGCTCAAGTCAACCATATGCCTCACATTCTTAAGCACTAACTTGCAGCCAAGGTTGGTCTTTAAATGGATATCATCCATGCCAATAATGTCTGCTATGTCATAGTTACGCATCTTGACAACACTAAAATTTTCAGACCTGTATGTAGCAAAAAAACTCCCTCCGTGGTGTAGCATAATAAGAAGCACATGTGTCAATCACTCACTCAAGATCCTGACACGCACAAGAAAAAATATCATCAGAAGAAGACAAAATTAAATAATCACCACCCTGCACTGTAGTTGTAGTATTATCCTTTGACTCTATAGACTCCACTTCTTTTCCCTTTTTCTTGCTCTTCTTAGGTTGCTTACATTGGTTCTTGTAATATCCTTTCTCACCACAATTATAGCAAATAATATCTTTTCTTGATCTTGACTTGCTCCTATCCATGCGTGAACTGTTTCTAGACTTTGACCTTCCTATATTCTTTGAGATAAGTGTCTGTGAATCATTTTGAGATGTTGCTGAATTCTTTCTTCTCAACTCCTTATTCAACAAACTGTTTGTTACTTGACTCATGGTGATAACACTATCTGGCGCAGAAGTACTTAGGGAAACCACTAGTGTCTCCCAACTTTTTGGTAATAAACTGAGAAGTAACAATGTCTGCAACTCATCATCAAGAGACATTTTCATAGAGGATAACTAGTTAGTAATACTCTGCATTTCATTTAAATGCTCAGCAATAAAAGCACCCTCTTTATATTTTAGGTTCACAAGTTTTCTGATAGAAAAAGCTTTGTTGCCAACTGTTTTTCTTTCATAGAGACCTTCCAATTTTTTTCAAAGAGAATATGCAGAATTTTCAATGGAAACATAGTGAAAGACACTATCATCAAGCTACTGTCAAATAAACCCAATTATTTTTCGATCTAATCTCTTCTACTCATCATCTGTCATAGTTGTGGGTTTTACACTATCCCCTGTAAAGGTCCATACAAATCTTTGCAATACAAGAGATCTTTCATTCTTAGTTTCCATATCATCCAATTGTTTCCATTTAAACTAATCATACGAGAAACATTACTGGCCTCCATATTCAAATACAAAATTAAATCACTACAATCCTGCTTTGATACTAGTTGAGGGGATATAAAAAGAAATAAACTTTTGTATATGAACAAATACTAGCATGTCATAACACACAACAGAATTAAATAGAACCACAATCAAATAGAACACCAAGATATACGTGGAAAATCCTTTCAATGTGAAGAGTAAAAACCATAAGGCAAACTAGAGATAATCCACTATAATAATAATGAATATACAAATCTCAATCTCTTGCCCAAAACCCTAACAACAATCACAAGAGAATAACTGGGATACAAGAATTACGTCACTGTGCATAATATTTAAATCCTCCCTAATTCTTCCCAAGTAATTATAGTAAGAATCTACTATAGATCTGATCTAAACTGAGATGAAAGCATTGCTAGATGACTGAGAACAGTCTTTTTGTGTTGTCCTTGTCTTCTTCCCTTTCTTTCTCTTTCTTTTCTGCCTTATTCTCCTCCTTTTCTTTGGAATCCCGTGACTGCCAAAAACTACCTTC